TTAGCGYGAGCCGAGATCTGCTGAAAACACCTCCTTTCAAGATGAAAAGGGAGAAGAGTTATTGTGATGGTGTTGAGGTGTCACCAGATTGTGTGAATTCTATAGATGGATTTATTCTGTTTGTGCAAAAAGTGCTTTAAAGCAGCTGCGTGTTTTTATGGCAGCGATGCATTATTTTGTTATGTGATCGTTAATGTGATTGTAAAAGTTTATTCATCACCCAACATAAAAAAAAACAAAGTTGGAGCAATAAGGCTATCTTCCAGTAATTGTCTGCCTGTTAGCAAAATATCACATCAACCACTGGACCAATTTTAATGAAGCTTGTAAAAAGTGATTTTTGGATTTGGAGCTTCAACTGATTACTTTTTGGAGTCAACCTGATTCAAGATGGCTGCCACCCACTAACATTAAAAAACACACAAACACAGTTTCATAGATATTGACCTAAAATTTAGTGTGGTCGTAGCTAAGCTTGATTCCCAATACATACTCAGAGCACTGACTGATTGCAAATATTGTCAATTAAAATATTACGTTTTATTATTTGGAGTCAACTCTCTCTGTTAGCAAAATATTTCTTAAACTACTGGACAGATTTGAAGGAAACTCACAGACAATAACCACTGGGTGTTTATTTACAACTGATTAGCTTTTGATGCCAACCCAAATCAAAACGGCCACCGCATCTGGCTGATATTAGTCCCCACAAAAAATGGTTGTAACTCGATACTTTTACCAATGCTGAGCTAAAATTTGGTGTGTCGTTGAATCAGAAAGTAAACAAACGGTACAAAATGGTGTCATTGCAAATCTGTAAAAGAAAATTCTTTGACATTATTTTTTTAAAGTAAGTCAAAGTAGATATCTAAATATGTTGTAAAGTGTGTTGAAAGTTTTATTTTCACTTGATTTAGAGTGAATATGATCCAACTGAAGTCAAATATAAATTCCCATTATTTCATATAATGTAYATGGTGACAAATAAATGTTTGGATATTTTCTCTAAATATCAAACGTTCAATAACAAGTCTTTTAAGGCAGGTGAGAAAAAYAAATAATCTTTGCAATTAGAAACTTAAGATTTCTTCATGTATTAATGGTACCATGGTCTGTCCTGTGCAGAATGACAAAATGCAAAATTATTTCTTTACAAAACCTCTAACTTTGTTCCAGTTAATTTTAGCAGCATGAATATTTGCACAGGTAATGTCCACAAGTGGATTAATGGTTTCCAAGAGGTTTTAGATTACTTCATTATGATTTTAAATGGGTTACATACTGTCAAATGCAAATAATTTTTAGGTGAGAGTGAAAAAAAATTAAAACATTATGTTCCATCCCCAATATCTCTAAAAYCACAGCAGCTGTTTTAATTGATGAAATCTCCCAGGTGTTAGCTTTATTTTGATACCAAGAAAAGTTTGTAAATGCTGAGATACACTCAGTTACATTTCAGAATGATATTTTGAGCAAAAACTTCAAGAAAACCCTGTGGGGCTTAAAAGGTTAATCTAACTTGTTCCCAAACTTCAACAACAAAACGTGAGGAAACTCTGAAACGTATTAGTGCAGCTAAAAAACTCCAATAATTCTGTTTGTCCTGATATAATCCAATCCTTTCAAATGATTTGCWATCTAGTTTTTCATTCAGTTATCATCCAGTTTGTTTGAAAATTACCAGAGTTACAARCATTCCATCTCAAAGTTGTCTGTCTAAAGAAATCATTAAATTGCATCAAACCAATATTTTCATTCAGTCCCCCTCCAACCCCCCCTCCACACCTTTAGCTGAGACCTCCAGCAGAGCCRGGCTCAGGTTGTGCTGTAGTCCTCTGAAGAGCATCAACATTTAATGTGTACACACTCCACTTCAAGCAGAAGAGCAGGAGCAAAGAACACGAGTCAATTATTAATGTTTAAAAGGTTTAAAGACTTATGTTGCCGGGGGTTAGCCTGAGACCTCGATGGATCCAAAGAGCCTTCAGAAGAGAGAGGAACGCCTGTAAACAAACCACCTCACCCTGCAGGTCAACAGCTGAGCAAGTARACAGAACGCACATAAAGCTTTAGTTATCTTTATCTCCAAACATCATATTTTTCATTATTTACTTTTGTCTGCTTKTTTACATGAAAGGTGTTTTTTAAATAATGGTGGATTTTTTGGGGCAAGCTGTGTGATGGAGAACATCTGGAGCAGCTGCAGTCAGTCCAGCTGTTAGTCAGCTGTATCTGAGAGGTGAAGTGTGCAGGGTTCATCCTCTCTACACACCAAGGTCATATAAAAGAAATAATATAAGGCTGGAAATCCAGTAGTTGGTTTCTTTTTATTATTATTATTATTTATTTTTTGGTAGTCRTTCCAAGCAGCAGTATCAACTGCTTTTTCATTTGAGGATCAGTTTCAGTAAAGAAAGCAGGGGTATAAGCCTGAGATAGATGATTATCGATTTTTTTTAATTATTTTGTCTATAACTCACATTTTACCTGTCTTAAACAGTTGTCTCAGACTAATACTTTCTTGTTCAAACAAGTTTTTATGGTTCTGAAATTACTCATTTGTTGTGTAAATACTTCTGCACATGTTGTTATTTTAGCTTCTCATGTATCAAAATATACAGCTTATTTGGGAAATTGGTACTAATGTGACACATGATTTTTTTTTACTTTTGTACTTTATTTAACACTTAAATACATGGAGATTTCTTTATAATGCTACTTTTAGCTAATATGTTGCTACATGCCTTTTGATACTTTTAGCTAAGCTTTTGTTATATTAACTTATAGCTACCCATACAGCCTCACTGTAAAAAAAGAAAAGTTGGCAGAACTCAAAATTTTGAGGCAAAAAACTTCAGGGCATTTTTAAGTTTTGGACTTCAACTTAACTGTTTAAGTTTTGTTTTTGAGTTTGCCAAACTTTGATTTCCATGTTTTTGTAAATCAACCAAAAGTTGTAGGAACTTAAAGTTTTAGGTTGTAAGAACTTTATATGCTGAGTCTTCAACGTCACACGAAAGTAGCAGTAACTTAAAAATTTATGTTGTACAAACTATGAATCTTAAATTTCTCTAACACCAGTTATTATAGATTTCAACAACTATAAACCCTGAATACTGTGAACTTCACTGTGAGTCATTACATCAACTATATATATA